CTCTCTCTCTCTCTCTCTCTCTCTCTCTCTCTCTCTCTCTCTCTTCTCTCTCTCTCTCTTTCCTTCTCTTTTTCCTTCTCTCTCTCTCTCTTGCTCTCTCTCTCTCCTCTCTCTCTCTCTCTCTCTCTCTCTCTCTTGCTCTCTCTCTCTCTCTCTCTCTCTCTCTCTCTCTCTCTCTCTCTCGCTCGCTCTCGCTCTCGCTCTCGCTCTCGCTCTCTCTTTCCCCCTCCCCCTGATTGCCTGGCTTGCACCACCTCCTCCCACAATGCCATCCTGCCTGGAGGTATGCACCCTCCCAGTTGGAGTGTATCTGCCTACCCTCAAACTGTCACAATTAGCATCTGGCGGGGCTGGAGCTCAATGGTGGAGTACTCATTTAGTGTCGGGGAGTTCCTAGGTTCCGTCCCAGTACAGCACCGCCCAAGTAAGACTCCAGGGTAGATATCCGCGCCTACCTGCACCCACCTGAGATGACCACACTACTCGTGACACTCCTAGGATCAGTTCCCCAGTTGCTGGCAGTGCCTGGCCCAGGCTTCTCTGGCAAGTAGATCAGCTGGACTTCTGGATCCATTTACAGAAACCAAGTCTAGGGTAACCAGTCACCCGAGTACAGTTGATGGTCTCCTGTGTGCCAGAGAGGGATGATTTCTAGTCTCTGGGATTCTTTGAGAGTTCAGGGAAAGCCGGGCAGTGGTGGCACACGCCTTTAATCCCAGCACTTGGGAGGCAGAGGCAGGCGGATTTCTGAGTTTGAGGCCAGCCTGGTCTACAGAGGAGGTTCCAGGACAGCCAGGGCTATACAGAGAAACCCTGCCTCGAAAAACCAAAAAAAGAAAGAAAGAGAAGAAGAAAGAGAAAGAAAAAGAAAGTCCAGGAAAACATCAGACAGGGACCCAGGGGATTTGCTGCTTTAAGGTTGGAGGCAATTTGGGCAGGAAGAAGGTAGGTAACCCCCTGCTGTGGTATCAGGGAAGGAATGATGTTGTAGGCAGAAACACTGGAGGTCTGCATGGCTTCACCAGAGATAGCCTGGAAGCAGATCTTCTGCCTACCTACATTGTCAAGCCAGTTTCCACATCCATTAAATGGGTCAATTTTTGTTCCACTAGCTGGGATCCAGGAGCCTGGTTGGGATACCTAGCTTCCTGACTTCTCACCTTGTGACCCACATCCTTTCTCTCGGAATCAGTTTCTTCATCTGTAAAATGGGCCTATGAAAGTAACAACACACCTGAGGGCCAGAACACACCTGAGCACTGAGATGGCCCAGTGCTTCGGAGCACAGGCTGCTCTTGTGGAGGACTCAGGTTTGGTTCTCAGCACCCACATAGCAGCTTATAACCATCTGGAACTCCAGTTCCAGGGAATATGACATCATCTTCTGACTTTTGGGACCACCAGCCACCCATATGGTACACATATAGAAAAAAACATGCATATAATAACTCCTAGAAAAGAAACCCCAAAGCCTGGCCCTTGGTGCTTGGAGGTTGATCTGTGTTATAGCCATGACAGTCACTATGGGACCGGGTCTCTTAGTAGAATTCATAGTATCTGTTATTTCAGACACAATAATGCAAATAGCACACTTTCCAATACACACCGTCCCCACAACAATAACGACCTAAACAGCTCTGAGAACCCATTTCTCAGTGTCTCCCAGAAGAAGGTGTTACCCCAGCCTCCTCACCCAAGTCTCCCTGTGCAAGTGTGACTGGTGAAGTGGACCACGGGGGCTGAAGCCAGCCTACTGCACTCACCAAGCCAGCTGGCTGGGTCCTGGGACCAAACTGGCCCAGATTCTTGGCACTGACTTTCCCAGTTCTCACAGAGGCATCTTGTGGGGAAGGGTGGGCCACTCCTTGACAGTTTCCTAGTCCTGGGTCCCCATCAGTCCTTTACATCTCCTCTTTGCTTTCTGTCTATAACTCCCAAATGATGATGTCCATCCAGTCTCAGTCCCCGTGGGACAGCGTGGTACTCAGGAAATGTTTTTTGGAGTTCAAGATTATCCCCATTCTCTGAAGAAGGCCCAGAGACAGAAATCAGCAAGACAGAGAGGAAGGAGGGCAAAATGGTAGAGGAACCTGGCCTGCCCCGGGAGCTCAGCCCAGCCTTTACCACAAGCTTAGTCACCCACCCAGAGGGCTGGGCAGGGCTGGCAGCAGTGCTGGAAGGCTCTGAGTCACTGGCTGGTGAGGGACAGCTGTGGCCCAGCAGGAAACCAAGGCTAAAGTGGAAGAGGTGTGTGGGGTGTGGGGTGTGAGTCCCTCCCCCTTACTGGTGAGGAGGAATTGGGACAGACTGCCCACTGCCAGTGGCCTCAGCAGCACACAGCTCCCAGGGTCCACCAGGAGTTCGGCCCTGCTCCATCTTTCAGGGGTCTCACTCTGGAGAACAGGGAGTCAGTGGTAAGATCTGTGTCTGAGTCACAGCAACTAACAGAAGTATTGACATGGGACCTAAGACCCAGGCCTCATGCACTCCAAGAATGTGCTCTACATCTGAGCTACACCCCAACCCATCATCCCATCCCTCGCTTGGTTTGAAATTTCAGAGAAGTTACAGCACCTTTGGGCTCATTTTGTCTCCCCAAAGATGTAGGAGTTACTGAGGTGTCAAGTGTTCTGAGAGAACAGCTCGAGGACAAAGACAGCCCAGCTGATAGCCTCCCACACCAGGAAGTTCCCGCTGCACTGGGCACTGGGTTTCCCATTCTCTGCTTCACTGAATCTTCACTACTCCTTTCCTGGCTTCTGTATTATCAGGTCTGACCATGGAACTATGATCTGGAAAGGTGGTGAGCCCCACACACCCCCCCCCCCCCCGTCCCTAGAGTTCTGCAAGAAGACCCTGTTGGCAGGGACTTATTTTGCTGTCAAGTGAGGTAGACATCACTGCCACAGGCAGACGTGATAATACACAGGTCTCCAGACAAGCCTGCTAGGATCCAGGGCCAAGGGTTCACCAATGGTTGTGCACTGAGGGGCGCTCACTCAATCTTGTGTTTTGTTACGTGGAGTGGGGACTGTCCTAGTACAGAGAGGACATTCCAGTCACACAGATAACCAAACACACAATGAAAACTCTTGGAATGTGCTGGCTGTACTGAAGGGAGATTCTAGAGTGCTGGGAAGAGCAAGACAGTGGGCTGAACGGTATGTGCCGTAAAGGTCGTTTTATCTGACTTGTGAACAATGTGTGGTGGTTGGAGGGGCAGAAGTCAGGGGAGAGGACTGGCTTGTATGCTCTAAGATCGTGTAAGGTAGTACTAGTCTAAAGCTGTGAAGGCTCAGACCGACTGGCGGGGGGGGGGGGGGCGGGGGGGGGGGGAAGCAGGAGAGAGGAAGGGCTGGGGCTGGTGAGATGGCTCAGGGGGAGAGGCTATTGCCAATATCTAACCCACACAGTGGGAGCAGAGAAGAGAATAGACTTGCAAATCTGAGGTCCATATTATGTGCTGATTCCCCTTCCCTTGTTCCCCCAAACAACAAGAAAACCAAACAGACAACAAAATGTAAAACACATATTTTTTAAAAAGGAGAAGCTGGAAGAATTGCCTAAGAGTCACATTTAGGAATTTGGCCTCATCTCAAGGACTGTGGGAGCCACAGAAAATTTAAGGTGAATAACAACACAACCTATTTGTGTTTTTTTAAGAATCTATGTGAGTATCCAGTGAGAATTAAGAGATAGGCTATCAGCAGACAGGCCAGCCAAGGACTGGCCCTGCTGGGCCCTGGCTGTGGTGACAGTTGCCCCTCTGAAGGAGCAAGGGAGTTTCAAAGAGGCCAGGTGATGGGTGGAACCAGCTGTGTGCTGCCGTGTCTCTCAGTGCCCAAAGGGGAGGTCTGGGCCCAGTGCCAGGGTCCCTTCCGTACCACAGGGCATGCCAACCAGGTAAACAGAGGTGGACACATGATATTCCTTAAAAACAAAATCTCGATTCATCCACACCCCTCTCTAGTTTACTGAATGTGTTTGTTTTTCTCTCTCTCTCTCTCTCTCTCTCTCTCTCTCTCTCTCTCTCTCTCTCTCTTCTATTTCAAGTCTGACAGGTTTGTGGGACAAGCAGAGTTGGGGCTCAGAGCCAACCTGGAGGGAGAGAAACCTGGGGGGCCAAGAAGGGGCCTTCCTTCTTCCTATAGGACAAGGAAGGGTGCTGCCCGAGACCCTCCTGGAAACACTAGAGAAATGCTTGCCCTGGTCTGGGCTTCTGTCCAGGCTCTGGCTCCAGCCTCTGGACCCTCCCTTTCAAAGTAAAGGCTCATTATTCTTCACCTTCGGGTTGCTGTTTCCAAATGTGCTTTAGGGTGGGGCTGGGCGGGGCGGCCCTGCAGAGAGGTAGGTTGGCAGAAGCCACTTCCTGACAGAGGC